TATATATATATATATTTAAATATATGAATGTTTTTGATTGCAGTTACAATAGAATCACTGAAGTTGCTGTGTAATTTATTATTTAATAGTATAAAAGTGCAACAGTCGCAAGTATTAATCTCTTCTTTGCCTTACCTCATCGATCGAATTAAAAATTATATGACACATGATTCCTATGATGTCAAATTATTTGACGTGAGAATATTGTTTTTACTGACTGCACTAAATACATCTACGAGGGACATAATCAAAACTGATTTATATGGTGATGTATATCTTATTAAAATAATAGAGGAATTTGCAGCTCAAAATCAAAATAGCGAGGTAATTGTGAATAAAATAAAAAGATTTATTTAAATATCATTTATTGATATTTTACATCAATTAAAAAATTCAAATTTTCTTGTTTCTTTTAGACTGAAGAGACAGCAAGAGAGATAACAATAGTCTGTGAAGTTTTAAAAGTTCTATTTAATTTATATATACATTCTGATGATATCGGAGTTGTGGACCAAGAAAAATATAAGAATTTGGTGTTAATTTTGTATAAATTGTTAACTCTTAAATATTCAGTGCAACAAGATGACCTTGAAAGGTAAAATAATAACAATTTGTAATATCTTATAAATAATAATAATAATTTGTGATATCTTTTATAAGAAAATTAGTCTTATTTATAAGAAAATTATTTTTTTTTCAGCCATATCGTCAATTTGTTGACTGTGATACCGTTTAGTTGTTATACATCAATTATACAAACCAACAGCAAAAATTGCAAAGATGTATACCAAAACATGGATATGAGCGCTATATGCGTTTTACTTAGATTTTTAGATAAAAGATTAGAATGTAAAACACATTTACTAGAAAATTTCTCTCCAATAATTACTGCATTGGTTAGACTTGTCAAATCAGAGAGGCTTGTTCGCAAATACATAAGACTGCAGGTAAAATCTTGTAATAAAATTTGAATAGTTATTTTTATAATAAAATTTTTTTTAAAATTTACTCTTGATAAAGAAAAAAATTTTAGTAAATAATTTTTTTTTAATTGCCCAAAATAATAAATAATCTCATGAATAAATTTTATAGATTTTACCTCCATTAAAGGATGTGATGAATCGTCCTGAAGAAGGGACGACATTAAGGGCTAAGTTATGCAAGTTACTAACGTCGCCTATCACAGAGTTACGTGATCTAGTTGCAGAACTTTTGTTTGTTCTTTGTAAAGAAAATGGTATTTATCTGCCATATTAAAATATTTCAAGTGATATTTGATTTAGTGTTAATAATGTTATGATATTGTAATATCAATATTATTTACAGTTAGCCGTATGGTGAAATATACAGGATATGGAAATGCGGCGGGAATGTTTGCCACTAAAGGATTATTAGGGCGTAACCAAGCGGAAACAGCTTATTCTTCTGAATCGGAAGATAGCGAAACGGAAGAATATCAAAAATATAAAGAACGGTAAGCAATCGACGAAACATAATTGATTAAGACGAAACGAAAAACTTTATAAATAAACGGTTTTCTTTTATTTTCAGAATAAACCCAGTAACTGGATGTTTCGAGCATTCCAAACCAAATCCGCTTGAAGGCATGACAGAGGAACAAAAGGAATACGAAGCTTTAAAATTAGTAAATCTGGTTAATAAATTAACAAAGTGAGTAATATATATTGAGAGATTTTATTTATTCGTCACAGATCAAAGATATGCGTAAAGATATACAATCATATCGAGATCTAATGCTAAACAAAAGCTATTTTCATATATTTATAACATCATTATGTAAACCAGCAATATATTATCAACTGCAAACGCCATAATGATAATATTTTTCTATATATATAAAAAAATATATATCAAGATAACATCGTTGCTTAGGGAAGGAGTCGTGCGTCCTTGCCGCATCGGCGATGATGGGAAACCAGAACCGATAGAACATGTTCTTGAATTGCAGAACGAATTACCGAAACAGCAGTTTGGCAGAAAGGACTCAGACTCCGAATAAATATGTTATATATCTCCAAAATAGGACAATCTGTATATGTATAGATGTATCTGTCCGAATAAAGATATTTAAGTCGAAAATTTGTTCTGACATTAGGCCCGCACTAAATTAGTCGCTTCCATTAGATAAATATCAGTAACAATTGTTTACGTAAAATATATGATTATAAATATGCGAATATCGTATAAAAAAACGTTTTCTCATACATGAAATTGCGTCCGAGGTGATTACAGTGAATAAAAAGAATTTCATATTTAGTTGATTACTTTATTGAAAAAGAGAACAAAGAACAACATTACAAATTAAACAATTGGCAGGAAATAAAAAATATATAACAGTTTCCAAAATCACATGAAATATTTAAACATTACAATTTTGGTAAAATGTGTTATGTGCTTTGTGAGCATCACAATATATTATTATTGCATTGCAGCCTATGCGCAGACAAGAATGTATACTTCTACACGTTTCAAATAACTGCATAGTGATATCATTTGAGAATATCTTAGTATAGGACAGTACATATGAATTGACAAGTAATGGCAAATTGAGTTGATATGATGAAGCAATGTACGATCAACAAAGAACATTTATTTTCTTTTATTTTAAGGCTAAATTTGTCCATCCTATAATAAAATATTTTCAATATAATACATTTGACAAATATATAAGTAGCAAATGTTCCGTATCTTTAATTATGTAATACATTATGTAGATTAAAATATTTTTTTTTCTTTTTTTGTAAAAGTGTATATAGATGTGTATACGTATAATACCATAAATTTGAATATTTTATATAAAAATGAAACTAAAATTTGGTTTCAAGATAGAAAAAAGCTGATTTGCGGTAAATAAAAAGAAAAAAAAATAATAGAAGAGAGTTAGATCTGTGTTACAGATATTTCGGGGACTAGTCTTGACAAACTTTGGAAGATAAAAAATCGTAAAACTCGTAAACTAAGAGATATATATAGATACATATTTGAAATACTTCGAAATTCAAGTAGTCCGACAATGGGGGGTGGGTATGTTCAATAAAGGCTGAGTAGTCTCAAAGGGAACTGATTTGTGTGTACACAGTTGATCTCTGGACGTGTATAACTCTAAATAATACGTTACATTACAAGATGACCATGCTCCTTGGCATCCCATTAGCATATAAAAAATATATTGGTATACACGCGCTTTCCATATTGCATTACAATTTACCTTTTTTCGTCAGTTGTACTATTCTTATACAGTTTACATTTTGAAGTGTAAGTGATGTCGGAATATTTAAGATCTTTTCTTTTTTTTTTCCCCCAGAAATACCTCGTTCTATGCAAAATACCAATGGAGGTTTTTAGGAAAACATGGTTTACACACAGTAATCCGCATTATCATTTCGTGACAGCTGTTACAACATTTGTATGTGTACAACATAGGTTGAATCATTAGAAAGTTCATTTCAGATATACATAGTACATGTTATTTAGTATGTTATTTAGATAGATTTGAGAGAAACGACACTAGAAACTAATTTTGCATAGAGAAATGTGATGGAGCCAGGCTTTAACTTTTGGTAAAGCACAATTGCTCAATGTAGACGCTTATTTTCGATTACGCAATAAGCTGCAAATGAGCTGTAAGAAGCTTTAAGAATCAAATGTCACTTTACCATAAAAAGTTTCTCTCAAGTCAGCCTCGCGATCACTACTTAAAAGTAAGTAGAAATACGGAGATCACCGAACGGATATATTCGAGGGTATGCTACTCGACAAGTTGACGCTTTTTCAGCATACCGGATTGGAATGCAACTGTATGTAACGCGGTTTTAGTGGTCAATTTGATATGTAAACAAAGTACCTCCAAAAAGGAACGTGTGGTAATATCCAAAAATAAATATTACACGTGTATAGGGCAGATGGCGAAAGCGTTTTCTTTACCCTTTCTCTCAGCCTGTTAAGTATTACATCGAGTAAACTAATGCAAAATAAATAAAGCTAGTGCTGTTGAGGAATGAAACCAAGTAACAGTATATACGCCATTAACATGCCTTTCGCGTTACTTACTTTCTAAAGATAGAATATATATATATATATTAAATATTTGTACTTTAACTGACTAAGCAAGGATTTAATCGTAATTTTTTGTCTTCTTACTCTAAGAACTTCAACACTCGCGCGCGACGCAACTTAAAAAGACGAATAAAATAAACTTATAAGGAATAAAACAAATTGTAAGCAATAATATACATGTTATATAAATACTCTGATTAGTCTGTTTTGGCACTAAAGAATTTAATTTTTCTATCTCATACGAAGTGACAGATAAAAATGATCGATTTGGAATGTAGTTAAATTGTTAAAGTAAAATCAACATCAATACTCATTATGAACTAATCGCTTTTTTCTGCCTTTTCCTACGAGGTAATATGACAAGCTGTATAGAATTCCTTGTCATTCCACCTCAGATTGAGTATTTGAAATAAAAGAAAAAAAATGTTAGCAACAAAAATATAAAAATTAAAGCAATGACAATAAACGTGTGTATGTGTGTATCTGAAAAGAACACAATTAAAATGAAATGAAGTGTATAATAGAAACCAGTCAATAATGTTTCTTATCTTTTCGAATAAGATATAAACTGTAGCGAGAAATTTATAAAACCAATTAAACAAAACAATATATAAATAATATAAATACACATTTGAAAGCAATTCCGTTTTTCCGGATTGCCCGAATAAAAACGTAATAGATCAAAATATGTATAGCAAGCTCGTACCACGTATTCCCCGGCAATAACTACCACGGAAAAATGATCTAACGTATCCAAATAAGTACGCTATAATAGCGTCAGAAACAGCCGATCGAACACATAATGCTTGCATAAAGATAAAAATTAATTATATATATATATAAGACAATGTATACGAGCGAGTAAGGAATAAAAATATTACAAAAATAACGCGGAACGCTTATACATAATGAGCTATGGCTTTTTTTTCTTTCTCCTTTCCTTTTTGATCATAGATTGTTTACCCCTCTTTTCCTCTTGTAAAAATTCAACTTAAATTATGCTGAAGGCATAAAAAAGTAAAAATTAATCACGGACTTTTAATGTATAAGCCATGTCGAGTAAAATAATATGGAGCTGTTAATTCGAAGCGCAATTCGTAAGATAACTCTTTTCGTGTTACGCTTTTCTCCATTTATAACCAGCTATATAGTGTTAATTGGCCATGCCCTAATCAATATAGCGAAGTCATACTCTTTTTTTTTTTCTTTAGGATTCTAGGAAGACTATGATTAACCGTAGGCTAGAATTCAGTTTATTTATGTCGTGTCATGTTAGTCCTATTATTTATATAATTGTAGCTGTCTCATTAATGCTTGTGAACATTCGCAATAATTCTTATTGTATAATATATGCGACTCTTTTCTTTTTTCTTCTTCCTCTTTTGAAAATCAGGAACATATTTTTTCGTGTGATATATAGCAACGATTCCTCATCAAATACACGACATATTTTACGATTGACAAATATTGTGTCGATTCACGCAAATCGTACGCGAAATTAGAAACAGAGCAGCCCGAGGGCTCGTAAATGTCTTCCTCGTGTTGCCAAGTACTGTAAAACGTAGCTTGTAAAAATTTCGAGAGCAATTTTGTATCGGGAAACAAACGTAATCGCGCATTAATTCCGATTTACAAATAAAACAGGTGACAAGTCTACAATTATTAGAAGGAAATGGAAAATTATAATTTTAACTCCACGGCGAACGCAAAATAGAAAGATCAAATAATTCTTTGCTTGAAATTATGTCGGAGAACCTGTGGCACCTAAAAGGCCTTGGAAGTTGTATAGCAATAAAAATAGTACTGCTAAAGAGTAATACACACAAAACCTATCCCATACTCGAAATACGATCTTCGATTACACTGCCAGTTGTAAAACTGTTTAGTGTGAATAGTTATGAGAGCTTTTAATATTAGTTTAACAAGGTAAGCAAAGTTTATCTATTACGTACAGAGTGACTATATAATTCTATACATATTAGGATAATAAGACTTTTGAGATTGTAAAAATCATCAAAAAATCTATCACAATTACCATTTACGTAACAAGTAATTCTCGTTCCTTTTTTTTATATATTATTGTTGTAATTTAAACATCAAGGCAAATAAGGGGTGAATTTCAACAGTGGCCTAAATTAGCCAAGTAGTCTTCCACAGAGATAAAAATATGTAAAGAGTAAATCTATACTAAAATATTCAAGTATATATAAGGTGAGCGTAATATAATAATTTTGTGAGGTAAAAGACCCTCTCGTTAATGGTCATCCATTCGTTACACTATGAGTTTTTTTTTAAATATGACTGGCAAAAATTTTGCAACATGTTCTCTCTTTATTTTGAATATTTTCTTCTTTTTATATTTAACGCGTATCATTAGAGACGATTGATGGTCCGCTCTGCATCTGTGGCGTTATTGTGCTTGTAAAAACACCTTGCAGGCGGCACCAACGGTATCTCACATTGATACACTTCTAATCAATATTTACCTAGCAACAACATCAGAGACTCTTTAAGGACACAACTTATCCTGACGATACTATTATCACAGGCATTATTTATATAACTCTGCTAACCATGACTATTAAATATTTCAGAATTAGTTTTTCTTTTCTTTTTTTCTTTTTATATATAAAATTAAAACTTCTAACGTTACACGAGAGATGAGTACGACTGATTAGCTTAGGTGTATGTATGTAGGCTTCGTGCAATTTACTACAAATGCCGATGTTATGCGCGAACTTTAAAATAGCCTCCTAGTACTGCCCTTTTTTGTTTCTCGTTTGTCTAAATTTTTTTCATTTGCTTCACACGAGTAATGAAACCAGACATTATCGATATAATTTCCTGTATGCAAACGAATTTGATAAAGCTAGTCAAGTATAAATATATATATATATATATGTATGTATATATATATAATTATATGTATATATGGATGTGCTACCTAGCATTTGGTATGGCAAGATAGTATTTATAATTAAACGTTATTGTAGATAATGTAAGGTAACACAGTGTAGCAATCTGCCAAATATCCGATGTATATATTGTATACACATTGCATTTTAGTTCAATCAAATCTTAAGGCTGATCATGTAAACAACCCTAAAAAATATGTGTATTTCTATATATGTATGTGTCTTATGTGGTTTTTCTTTTTCATGTATTATGTTAATATATACATAAATAGAGGTTGTTTAGCAAACTGTACGTTATTTCCTTTTTTTTTTACATAGATAAAGTATCGTCCCTATATAATATACCGGTGGTATATATTATGTACTTATGAATCTTATATAATATATTACACAAAATCGTTCCCCTGCATTGTAAAAAATGCGCGGGAACGATTTCTGTAATTTTATAACAAATACATTTACATGGTATGGATACATTATTCACTAGCACCACGAACCAATAATTCACACACGCATATACGTCGTATTCATATGATGGACCATAATAAAGCATCCTGAGTAAATATTGTAACCATTATGTGTCTCGTCTAATTTTAACAATGCACAAATGGGATCTACTCGTTTGTCTTGTAAGTGTAAATAATTATTTCATTTTTTTTATACGCTCAAAGTATCTTTTCTGTACGATACTTTTTATATAAGATATTAAATGTTTGATTTTCAACATACCATAATCTATTCCTTGCACATTAACGTTGTTTTTATATTATGTTCTCAACTATCATTTTCAAACGCGCAGAAAGAAATCAGGAACATAGCTCTTATTAAGCTTCGTGCCTGCTGCAATGAGGAGTATTGTTTCATTCTCTTCTTTAGAAATACGATATGATAAGAGCAGGAAGTACTATCAACTACCTCGCAGCATGCAACGTTCTTTTTTTTCGTTTTTTTTTTCTGTTAAGCGAAAAAAAATTTTGATCCTCTCATCGTGAAATTTATCCTGCTGAATTTATTAGTTACTTAGAAGCTCTTAAAGGAAAACTTTTTAAACGTAATCTGTGCATTTACATGCATCTCTCTTGAAGCATCAGTTAGGACTAAGAAGACAAACATCCTTGATTAATAAAAAATCAGGATGAGAACGTCTTATTCCGAGCACGAATCGAAACCAGTGTATAGAAAGTGCTCGTCGGAGACTAGAATAATTTGATTTATAAACATACTTAAAATACTGACATGTCAAAAATGATGTACAACAACCAATTTTGACGGAAGGCCATTATAAATTGCTTTCTCTACTACAAGCGATCCAACTCGTTGGTTGGTTGCTTATTGGTTGATATAGCTAACTGCTTCTCTCTTTATAACTGGTTCCACTTAGTTAATTTAATTTACTTTGGCAGTTTACCAAAATGCAAATTGCTAAGTTACTATTATACTGTTTGGTCGGAGACGTACATTACCTTTCTGCTTTTTTTTTGTTTTCAACATTGTTACTTTCATAAAACGGGGACGCATTATATTTTTACAACTATTAAAGCTGCATGCTGCACTTGTTTCTATTGCTTTGATAGGCCCAATATTCGAACGTAATGCCTTGGGCATGCCTTTTCCATCTTTCGTTGAGAGCAGTTTCCAAAGAAGTTTCCATTTGCAGAAGGAAGTTATAACATACTTACTCATCTGATGCCACTTCACAATATATAAAGAGTGTTTAAAACAAGGACATGGTGGTTGTTTTTGGCCAGTGTTACAATATATCCTTCCGAAGTTATTTTCAATCCACAACACCGAGACACCTATAAAATATAACATTATAATATTTAAAAGCACTATTAATTTTAAAATTTTAAAATTATATTTATAAATATTTAGTAAAAATTGTTTTAATAAAATAAAATATGTATATTTTATAAAATATAAATATTAAATACTTAATTTTTACATTAAATACGATAAAAAAAGCCAAGATCGGTCAAATTTTAGATGTTACAAATAATACATTATATATTCTTTTATTGAATCAATTTATTCCAGATATAATTGCAAACCGATAACATTCGGTTTCAACACAATCATTCTGAAACGCTAATAATCCCTGCCTAAATTAAATTAGAAAGAAAAAAATTTATTGCGAAAAATATTACCTCAGCCAGGATAAATTAATTAAATTTTATTTTAGACTAATCACCAGTACAACAGTTTATTACTACTGGTAATTAAAGTATTATAATTAATATGTCAAATGAAAAATTGATAATTGACGGATCGATTCTAATCGTCATCCCACATGTGTACACATTTCGATTTTTAAAAGAAGTGACTGGAAAATGGTAAACCATTTCCAGAATTCAAATTTCATTTATATTTATATTATATAAAAAAATATATGTATTTAGATTAATATATGAAAGATATAATACTCTACCTTCACATATGGACATTCAAACTCTGATATTAAAGAGCCCGCTCTGGAGAAGACAGCTACATGGAAACGATTACCATGTGAATCCCCAATTAATACATCTCCTGCATCACTAATATCAATCCCGTTCGGGAAGTTTGTTACATTCTCACAGCCAATGCGACGCAGGAATTTACCCTCTTCGTTGAACACCACAACACAATGTCCTTTAAAGTCGCAAACAAAATATTCTTTGCCTAAAAATTTTATATACAATTTGATTATTAATATTATAAATTGCAGTTTGTCCAAGGTATTGACGAGCATAATTAATTATGTTAATTATAATTATATTTCATTGTAAATATTAAGAGTGATAAAGTGTGCTTACCACTAATTAATTATAATTATATTTCATTGTAAATATTAAGAGTGATAAAGTGTGCTTACCACTAATAGCAATATCACTTGGTTCTCTCATATAGTCACTACAATCAAACCACCTCAAAAGATCTCCTGTATCACTGATTACGAACACAGTTGGCGACACACTGTCAACAGCCACAATATGACCTTGACTGGTAACAGCTAGGCCAGCTACGATATCGATGTAACGAATAGCGATCTTCTTTATAAAGTGGCCATTCTTTGTAAATATCTGCATTCGAGATCGTTCATTTCCACGATCACATACAACAAATTTGCCATTATTTCTCATAACGGCTACTTTCCTAGGATACCATAATTGTCCCTCTTCTTTACCAGGAACACCAAATTGAAATTTGAAGGTACCAGTCTTATCAAAAATCTAGAATTAATATACCCACAAAATTTATATTATGTTTATATATACTTTATATATAATTTTTTTATATATAATACTTATTTGTGACATGTATCATTATGAAGTATATACCTGAATTCTATGATTATTTGTATCTGCAACGATAATATCCTCATCAGTCCCCAGACAAAATCCATGGGGCGAATTAAATTGCCCTTTACTGGGACCTAATTGTCCAAACTTGCTTCGGATATGCATAGGCGTTAATTTTGTATTCTGGGTTCTTGGATGAGCAGGATAATTCCCTGTTCCTGATCCAGTTACGTGATTGGCAACAGTATTTCCTACTACAGGCATATTATGCATAGAATCACCTATTAAGTCATCTAAAAATAAAACATCAATATTGGTAAACATATACAGTAACTAATATACAAGATATTTAATATTGAGAAAAACTTTTCTCTTTTAAATCCTTTATATCTTTTGTTAAGATATAAATGCAAAATGTATTGTATAAAATAAGCAAATTTTGATTTTTTTTTTCTGAGTAATATTAACATGTATACACAAAAATCGGAATTATCTTACCAGCACCCTGTGAAAGTATCGGCGAAGTGGAAGAGGACAATGATTGAAATCCTCCATTTAATAGACTATTGGCAGCCAAAGGACCCAAATTTGGGGTATCTACAATGGCTGGTGAAGGTCCACGTCCCAATACTAATCCACCACCACCATTAATGGTGGTATTTCCAAGATCTGCAGCAAAGCAATAAATATACAATAAGCAGAAATATAATAATACATGTTTCGTTAATCTTTTAGTATATATTAATAATTCTTATATCAATATTTCAGGGGCTAAATAATATGTATTTATACCTATTATACAATTATTTTCTTTCAAATTAAACTTTAGAATAATAGAAAATAGAGGTAATGCTAAATCCGATTTTAATTTTATCTTTCAAAAGTTGTATCTTATGAATCCTATCAAAAACTTGAAAATCAAATTTGCAACTTAACTCAGTTTAATTTATTTGTCAAGTTAAAATTTTCTAAAGAATACAATACTTCAATCCGAGTTTGCATTACCTCCTGTCGAAATATATTTTGAAGACATATTTTAAAATGTCATTTAAAACGAAATAGCATAATAGCATTATGTTACGGAAAAGAGATTTCTAATTTTAATGATAGCAAGTGTAACATACAAAAATAATTGAAAGTAACAATAAAATAAAATATTATATAGCACCTATAATATAAATTTTTTAAATTGTATGTAAAATATCTCTCAATATAGTTCTTAAAGTACCTGTGAATTTGTGGGAAAATCGGGAAATGTATGGGATTAGGTCTGGAAGAAATAAGAGAGGGAAGGACATTGGTATTACTAGAGTAACTTCATAAATCTTTAATGTTATACTTCTTACCTTGATTACCAAGAGTATTTCCTAATTTCGCAAGAGCTTGTAGATTATTAATGGCATGGCTCGTAGAACTTAGATCTCCAGCAAATAAATCTGCCAAAGTAAAGGACGGAGTTGGACTAGGATTCGAACTAGGTCCAACTACACCAGTATCGCCTACCATTTCTACTTTCTCTGCTAAACTGGCCAACTGCTGAAGATTATATTCTTGAATGCTAGTGAATCCATGAATAGGAACCGGACCTGGTGGAAGAGGTACAGGTGGTGGAGGAGGTGGAATATTTTGAGGACTTGAAGTCGGTGGAATAATGAATGAAGGTTCACCTTCAAAAGAGGATTGCATAGATGTGGGAAGTGAAATGGGAGAGCTTGTGCTAATAGAACTTGGACAACCCATTGAAGTGGTATGAACTATTTGTTGATTTGTAGAGACACCCGATATTGTTGAGATTGGTTCGGGATGAGGTTTCACTTCTAGTGTACTTTCAGTATGAAATTTTCCAAATACTTCCTGTAATAATTTTTCACAATGATTATTATATATAACTGGATAAAAGAATCTATAATTGAATAAAATATATTATGCACATATTCACCTTTACAGTTTTCTCAAATTGATTATAATCGGTTTGAAATTCAATAGAGAATGTTACATTATGTTTTGGTGTATTTTTTATTAAGTTCATCAATTGCACTCCTACAATACGCCGAAGTGCTAAGATTTCCACTGCATCGCCATGTTCTAGCAATCTTGAGGTAAAACGACAAGCGTCTTCTATTTTTTCTGCAGTCTTTTCAACACTGCAACAAAATTTCAAATATAACAGAATGTTCATAGAAAGAAAGATTTTTTTATTAACAGGACAGTTTTATTCTCGACAAATGTTATTGCTAAAAATTTTGTTCTATTTATCCTTTTTGATACAAGTATCTTTTATCTTCTAGTTTTTTTTTAATAATAATGATAAACAATTAATAATAATAACTAATTAAAATAACTAAAATTAAATATATATACCTATGAAAAGCATCCATAATTTCAAGTTCTCTGTTTGAATGCAATTTTTCGAGTTCACTTAAAGCATTGTCTTTACATTTCTCTAGTATGGCCTTGTAACTTTGAAAAGTTTCCATAATTAAATCTTTTGCTTGATCGTGTTGTACTTGCAGCTCACTAAGTGCATTTTCCAGTTGTACTGTAACTTGATCGCATTCAGTCATTTTTACTTTACTTTCAGTCATCAGGTTAATTATTTCTTCTTTTTGTCGTGGTTCTGCATCTGTCAGTCGTTCATATTGATGCTCTGGTGCTTTGTGTTCCACAAGCAAACACTCATTGCAAATAGGTTCCTGATATACATACAATTTAATACTTCTTAATTACAATTTCATTAAAGACATAATTATATTAATATAATTAATATAATTATAGGTGTACAATATGTATATACACAAAAATATTTTTTCATACATAAAAAACATTTTAAACATTTTTTCTGCAATATAAATTTTTTCGTCTCTTTAAAAACGATAACTACTTTTTTATCTTTCAACAAATAATTACTCATCATTTATAAATGTTAACTGACATTAATTCTTTTTTATATATTTATGAAAGAAAATATATTTTTCAATCAGTATATCAAGAATATCAAATATTATTTATAATTTTATACATTTAAAAATTGTAGAAAATTAGATTTGTAATTTAAATTACAATACATTAATAATATTATTTTGAGTATTTATAGATATTGCAATAAGATTTCTTAATACATGTTAAATGCCAGATGACAATTATAATACCTAAGTATAAAAAGACTTGTCCATTTTCCACTTACCTGGCATGTATGACAGTAAAACTTCATATTTTCAGCAGGATGGCATTCGCAAAAGATTGGCTTGTGTATTGGGATAGCTTCGTTGGATTGCTTCAAATCTTCAAAGGCAACTACTTTATGATGCTCGAAGCAGCGCATGAATTGATGCGCCGTGTTACAATTTGGGCACAGAAAATTGGCGCAATCCGAGCAACGCGCCACGGCGCTCTCTTTGGCCTTGCAGGAGGTACATAGTACTGCCATGTTCTCGATAGCGGACATATCCAATATATTGGTGAGAACATAGTCACACGTGAGCGACGCGGCGCCCTTAGAACTAACGGAAGTCTCTTGATGGCATACAGGGCAGCTTATAACAGAGCCCACCTTGGAATCCCCAGCTTCGTCCATAAGCAGCTTGTCCAGGCATGCCTCACAAAACACATGTAGGCAGGAGAGTACTCTGGGGGAGCACAGCTTGCTCATACACAGGGCACAGCCCTGATTATTGGCCTCTCCATTACCACACGTCATCTCCTCCAGGGCATCACCGGGGTTCCCGCTGTTGTTGTAGCCACTGACGGAATTGACGTTGTTCCGCTCGCCAAATATATCGCTGCCGTCGATCTCCTCGGTGCCAGCCGCGACGACGATGCCACCGTTGCTACTGCTGTCACTGCTGCTGCTACCACCACCACCACCGCTGCTGCCACCACCGCCGCCACTGCCGTTTGTCACCGTCGGCACCGAGGTAGCTCCCGACGGAACAGCCACCGTGGACGATGCCATCCTGCGATGCTGTTCGCGCGCAATTCACAAGGCGGGTGGGAGGAGGAGGGTTGCACTCGAGAAGGAGGGAGATGTCCTCTGATTGTGCTTCTATCTCTCACGCTTATGGACCCGTCGGATTGTCACGGGATAAAGGAGTTGGAGAGAGAGAGAGAGAAAGAGAGAGAGAAAAAGAGAGTTGGAAATTTTTCGTTTCCCGCTCGCTTCCTTGATTATCCTGCTTCTACTTCTTCTTCCTCTTCTTGCCTCCGCGTTCAGTAAAGAATGAGGGAGATGGCAAAGACTCTCGGATTCTCTCACGAAGCGCGCGATGCTCGAAACATTATACTGTCGGCACGCTCGCACGCGCGAGAAACAAAACACGAGACCAAACTCGCCCAGGCTGGCTCTGGTTGGCTTCACTGAGCTTCAGCACGACTGGGTCGCGCACCAGGGAAACGCACGCGGAACCGTGTATATGGATGTGTGCGCGCGCGCTCTCGCGTTAGAGGAAAAAAGGAAAAGAAAATCCCTCGCTCTCGCTCCTTCTCGCGAGCCTCCGTACGAGCGTCCGCACGCGCGCGCGCGCGCGCGCGAATTGCGTTCGTTGTGTATGCGCGCGCGACTAACGGTTGTCGCGTCGATATATATATATATAGAGGTATGTGTATATATATATATATATATAT